ATAATAATAATAATAATAATTATTATTATTATAAGGGCACAGCCCCGATCCTCCTAGCCGGCACAAGCCTACCGTATGATCAAAAAATGGGACTGGCCATAAAAACAAATATAAGAAAAAAAGTTTGGATTTTTTTCTGGCCAGTTGTTTCAATTTGAATATAATATAAACAATCAATTATAATTATTGATTGACAATAAAATTCATTATACACATACACGATAAAATCAAACACCTGATTAACTTTATACAATCAGTTGATTGACATAATTAAATAATCGATTCTAATCACAAATAAATCAATTACCGATTTACAATAAGAATGATATTTTTGTAATCTATGGAATCTTCGTTATGCCAATCAATTGCCGGTGCATATTCGGCTATCGACCCTCTTGATCATTACTGACCCTTAAGAAATTTTATGGACCCCCAAGGGGCCAATATTGATACCGTTGGGAACCCCGTCAGCAAGAATGTTAGATATTCAAGCTTGAACTTTCTTTTAGCTTTTCAGCTACTTGCTAAAAAGCGTGCTACCTAATTGTTCTCTTTTCGAAGACATGTCAAATGTGACACAAAATATCACTGCAGTGCTTTTTATATTAAGCAGAACAGAGAAATTAAAATTTGATTCAATAATTATTCTAATAAAATCAATAATTTCAATAATTAAATATGAAGTTTTTCTTCATGAAACTTTCAAGAATTTATATCTATGCTCTCCGAAAAAGTTTCTTTTAATTACTTTTAATTAAATCCAAAGCAGAGATTAAGGTTCTGTTCAAAAATCAAAATTCAATTAAGAAACTCAAAATAAAATCCAGAAATTTTTTTATTAGTTTTTCGTCTGAAACTGTCGAAAGGAAATCGTTAATCAGCAATCTTAATTGATTTAGCCCGAATCGGTGCTGATGAATTAAAAAAAACATTGCGCAAATATGAATTAAAATTAGAAAGGCAAAAAGAAAAAAGAAATGGGTTTCGTAATGACACTGATAATGGAGTATTTATCCAAAATTGTTCGAAACAATGAGTATAAAACATTAAAATGCATAAACTCATTGAGCAAAATTCTGAATATCAAAACAGTTTTTTCACAAGGAAGTGTTATTTCACAAAATACCCTATGAAAAGAATCGTATTATAAGAAAGGTATTTTTTGGGAGCAGGAGACTCGAAAAATGAACAACGCTGTTTCCGGGAATGGAAACACGGACTTCTGGAATACGCGCCCAGCGTGCTGACCACTACACTACGAAGGCATGCTAAAAAAGGCGGCTGAAATACCTTATAAGTGTACTAAATATTAAGATCTCGCCGCCCAGACATTATAATGGTTAGGGGAGCCGACTACTATACCAAAGGGCCCGGGTTCGAATCCCAGAGAAGGCACGGTTGTAATTGTCCGCCCCTTCGTAGGAGGCAAAAGTGGCCCACTTCTGGTCTTAGTACGGGGCAAGCCGAAGTCTGTTGAGGGCCCGCCATTAGGGAAAAAATATTAAGGTCTCATTGCCTGGAATGGGCAAGATGAACTACTGAATGTAGAAAAGGTGGTTCTGTGGCATGCAACAGAGCAGCTTTAAAGCGGAAAAGAAGGCTAGTAAGTGATTTATTAAGACGGTCTGGTGTTTCTACTCTCTAATAAATATTTCCATTTGACACTTGTCTACCATTCCAAATTAACAGATCTGAAAGACTCTTTTTTATGATGTGTTTTGTGAACTTATAGAGACATTAGGTTAATTGGAAAAGCAGGAAAGATAAAAAATGAGCAACCGCCTTCGCCGGGAATCGAACTACTGACCTCTGGAATACCGGCCCAGGTTGAAGAACCACTACACCACGAAGGCAAGCTAGGAAGGCGGGAGAACTATCTCATAAACTAACATCCATACTTCTCAACCTCTTCGTTCTCAGCCTTTCCCTCCGTGTGCTCATCATATCAAGTCTGATATGGGAGCGAAGTGTGGCTAACTGGCCACTCTCTTGAGCGTTGGCATTGGTGTGATGAATTTTATTTGTTATTTTATTCTACAAAAGTAAAATGCGCTACGCTAATAACGCGAGTTCATAATTTAGAAAGATTTCAAGCAGTGAAAGCGGCTTAAAATTTTGTAGGTAAACATGGCAATAGGATACAATATGCAGTGAATTCTTATTTTTTTTACTTCATTATTGTATAGAAATAATTTACGTAAGGGAATATTATCATTTTTTTAACTTTATTATTGCACAGAAATAATTAAAGTATGGAAATATAACCTTTATTACTAATATCGCAACTTATTTACTCAGAATTTGTTTATTAATTTTAAATATTATAAATTTCAGTGTATGTAATAAGAAATAATATGTGCTAAAATCCAAATACTTAGACAAAAAGCAGAGATTATAGGAATTATTTTTGAATGTCAGGCTTCACTGTTAAGTGTGTTGAGCACACAGTGACGTTCAGCGTTCCAAAGTCAACGGACACATGCGGCAATTTTCGTTCCCACGACACCGGGAGCGAAGAGGTTAAAAAAACGTGAAAATAATATAAATCCATTTTCAAAGTATCAATTCCCCCCCCCCCCAAAAAAAATTCTTCTTTTGATAAAGAATTACAACTTCTAAGTCGAACACTAAACCTTCTACTGAAAGCATTCCCAAAAGCTTTGAAAAAACAAAAACTTTAAAAATAGCTGCTTAAAAAAAGCCCCACCAAAGCTTTAAGATAACTAGACTAGGAAAACCAACGAAGTAAAAGTTTTTTCTTATTTCAGCTAATGATTAAGTTGAGCTTTTGAATTTATTTACAAAGGTTTTTGTTTTGGAAATTATTGTTTTTCCTTCAGGACAGAACTACTTCTTAAATTTGTATTTAGCCTTACGAAATCATTAATCAAGCACACCGGTGCGACATTGGAGGGTAAATATGCGGAAAGTTTAGTATTTACCTCTATAAAGCCGACTAAATATTTTACGAATTAGATTCTATTTTTACTGGGCAGTTAGATTTTACATTTAGTTAAAAAGATTTAAAAAAAAAAATTCATCAAAAAGTTAGATTTCGCATTCATCGAGTTCTCTCGCACTGTTAAACCAATTTAAAAGGATTATCTTCCTTGTTTTAAAGTTGTCTAGTAATTAAAAACTATTTGAAGTAAACTTCTAGGATCAATGTTTAAGAAAATAACACTACTTTTCCTTTAAAAAAAAATAATTTTTAAAAAAATTTTAAAAAAATTCTAAAATTCCATTTTTTAAAAAAATTTTTAAAAAATAGCACTTATTAATTAGAATACCTGGGTATTTTAGAGAAAGCCTGACTTTTTTAAGCAAAGTATAAAATCGGAGAATTATTATACATAAAACAACTTCCTCGATACATGAAACCCTAGTGGCCTATCTCTCAACCAATAGAAATGAAATTTTAGATACTGTTATTTGAAGTATGCGCTCCAGCTGGTGATGTTTTGAAACAATAGAGCTCTCCCAGTTGCAGTCACAGTGGGAACATTTCGAAATTTTCGATGGCAGTCCCCATTTTTGTTCCCGGGAAAATTGATCAGCACATTAAAAAACCAAAAATATATGAAACGATACATAAAACATTTGCAAAGAACAGCATTGTGATAGTAACACAAGACAGGAGAGGGAAAAAATATCTTTTATTTGAATTGCAAGTTTTGACATGCTCACCTTCGCAGAAAATTGCATGCGGGAAATGGTTGACAACAACAACGAGCGTGGCATCGTATGAGGAATCTGCAAAACCTCACCTTTTGTGGCATCGTTAAATTCTGATAAATCTCGTAGATTTAATGTGTACACCTTAAATTTCAAATAATCTCAGACACAGAAATCTATCGGAGAGAGGCCAGGAAAATGTGGTGGCACGAAACTGCAAAATTATGCGAGATGACTCTATCTCCAAAGGGCTGTTGTAGCACTTTGCAACACAAGGATCACTGTTGCAGCAGATGTTGCGACTGGTGGAGGAGCACTATCCTGCATCCATACGATATCCTTAACGACATTTAGCTCCTGAAATTTTAAATTTAAGTAATTCTGCAACATTACTGTACCCCGAGCATTTCTGATGGAGCACATTTTTATACATGTGCGAGGGACCTCGTTGAAGACGTATGCAAAGTATGTCAACGCACCTCCTGTCTGTGCCGTCGTTTAGTAATAAATTATTTAATAATATTTCTTTGCGTGCTTTAATGCTTACTCTTGCCCTCTTTGTTGTTGTTCATCTTTTTTTTTTTTTTTTTTTTTTCATTTTATTCTGCAACATTTTTGTTTCCTTGCCTTTTCTGTAAAGTCAAAGTCTCTCGAAATCTGTAAATATATGTAAAACAAAACACGAGCGCCCTTGTTTGGCCATGTATAACCTTTTTCATGTCTCAATAAACTCCCAACGCAGCCTCTTTTGACTCCAGGAGTTGTTGCCGCTAGATAGGGAAGGGCGTGTGACATATGCCTGTTTACCTATGTTAGACACAAGGCGTTCCCGTCCTCCGTAACCTGTAACCTGTAAGATACTGTACGAAATGCGTGGTAATGTGAAATGAATGTATTAAATGTACTATTGTGAATGGACATATAAGGTATTTCTCCCGCCTTCTTGGCATGCCTTCGTGGTGTGGTGGTCTGCACCCTGGGCGCGTATTCCAGAGGTCCGTGGTTGGATTCCCGGCGAAGGCGTTACTCATTTTTCATCTTTCCTGCTTCCAAATTACCCAATGTCTCTATAAATGTATTAAGTGTATGGATATTCGAAACGAATCAAACATGTATTTCATACATTACAGGCTTATATATATTATGCAAAATATTATATATATGCAAAATATTACAGTTTCATATATTGCCCACCAGTTTTCGACATTCTATACAATTGATAAGTGTAACTATTAATTCTTCACGGAAGTAGACTCACGGAAGCAGAAGTTGTTCATTAGTAGTCATCCATTAAAAATCATTAGTATTCATATCATCATCCTTACCTGCTGTTCTTTTTCATATTCCAGCTTGATTCTGGACTCAATGAAGAAGCGCGTACCCGCAAACGTCTTATCGTGCGATGCATCTGTCATACGTCGATGAAAGTAGCCAATCAGAGTGCCGCTTGCCAGAAACAAACCGCACGCTGCGACCTGCAGGAAAAAAAAAAAAAAAAAAAAAAAAGTTTCCATCATCTTTCATATTCTGCACAATGAAAGCAAATATAAAAGACATGGGTACTAAGGATATATATATACAAGTGAATATTAATAATATTGAAAACGTGGTAAACTCATAATCTAGTTATTAACGTTTTGGAATTATAATTTCATTAGAAGACATTATTCATCCTTAGATTAAAATGGTATAAAAACTCTATGCTTTCGAAAACACGGAGTACCAAGTAATTCATCCTCAAGAAACAAATCCATTCTATACCATAGAAGTAGAAGGAAGAAATATATATATATGTGTGTGTGTGTGTGTGTGTGTGTGTGTGTGTATGTAAGCTATGAAATGTGAAAGCAATTTTCTAATTTCAGTTTTGATATATCAGTTTTATTCTTCATTTTAATTTGGGTACTTCCTCTTTCCATCCTAAAAATAATAAGAATTTCAACATATCAATCAAGTTGCGTCATTTCAAAATCAATCTGAATCATACCCTGATCCAATCAAAAATCGAGATTTATATTAAAGAACCGAAAACTTTTGATTTTCAAACGTTTCTACTGAATGCTCACTCTTCAGCTTTGCTTGCTGCGAGCTGAAATACTATCGTTCTTCTCTTTCTCTACCGCCCTCTAGCGGCCGAGTGGTACAGTCGCTGAGTATTAGTATTTCTGTCCGGATTTCGAATCCTAGCAAACGGGATGGCTGCATGAGCGTTTTCCTGTTTCTCCCATGTGCAGCATATACACGAGCATGTTTCGCTTAGAAGATCTTCCACAAAGGCATCCTTCCTCAAAGGTATATAGCTCTCGAGTGGTTTCCATAATTAAATAAACCAAACTTCTCTATGTATCATACGTTGTGTGTCTTAAGATGTAAATTTCAAAGAGCGTTATGAAGATAGGGTGCACATTGCACTCATGATGATGTGTGAATCAGTTTATGATTCTAAGGAATTGTGCTGTCCAGTTATAAAGGTATGTTAACTCTACAGCTGTGTCTCTCTGCGTCATCCTACTATTTACGCAGTAAACCACCTCCAATCCATTAAAGCTACATCTCTAATCTGTTACACACACTCACATACATACATACATATATATATTTATAATCAATAAATAATAATTGACTCAAAAATTAAATAAAAAATGGGGTCCAACTGTCTAATACAACTCAAACAAAAACAATTCGATAAAACTATATATTTAAATAACAAAATAAATTAATATCAAAATTAAAGATTTCTTGGTCTTCCTCAAAGACCAGCCGGAGAATTTTCGTAAGAGCCACGTATCTGAATTATATCTGGATGAACTCTTTAAATTATTCAAAAGAAAAAGTTCATATGAAAGTGCCGAATAAAACATTTATTAAATTAAAATTGTTAAATTAAACTTCGGTGAAAGTTTAATAAAGTATTGCTTTAAATTTTAAAAAATAAGTAAACATCAAGATATAATCCACTACAATGTGATCTTAAAACGAAGAAAACTAAAAAGAGCATAACCCTTTTTTAGACTCTCTTTTGATTAAGATTTTGGTTTGGTTAGTATTTCTTGATTATTTAATTAAATTCGCAGCATACCGCACGACTTTAGTAATTTATAATCTTAATTTGTAATTTCTAAACATATAGTTTTTATATATATATTTGAAAGCCGTTGCACCAATTTTGGCGTTGCACCAGGAATTTTGTTAAAGCTTTCCATGTTTCAGCTAAATTCGCAGTTCACTAAGCTAATATTGGACTAAATCCCGCTAGCACAACGTCTTTATTCATTTTCTTTTCATCACCATTAGCGAGTATCACTTTTCGTTGCACATACAAAAAAAATTAATAGTAAAATTACAAAATTTTTAAAAGCAGCGTGTTTTTGGAATTCCCGAGAGATTGTTAAATGTTGCAGTAGACTTTTCTATTTTTTTCAGTCTTTACTCAGTTCCTCTTCATCAACAACAAGGCAACCTAAGAAATTTTTTTTTTTGTCTTTTTAAAACTTTATTATTAAACATTACTTTTCCGCAATTGCGCTTCATACATTTCAACAGCAAAATCACAAACATTTATAAGCAGTGTATGCATACATACTTTTCAGTCTTTTTCAGTTCATGATATCAATATTCAGCTTTCTTATCATGATCAATAACACAATTTTTCTGTGTTTAAATTCTTAACATTTTGTCATTTTAACTTTATTTATAGAATATTATTTACTTCATGCTTACGCCACAGAAAAGCACAATCAGAAATTACTTAAGAAGCTTATGTATTTAGAATTCTCAATTGAGTATTAAGTATTGCCATACACTTGTTTTCCCACTTTTCTACACAACTTTCTTTTTTGTCTTATTATTCTGAACGCTTTTGTCTTTTTAACTTTAACTATGGAACAGCACTTTCTTCGACCTCACGCCAAATAAAAAACAACAGCAAAATTAAAAATTACTTTAAAAAAATTTTTTTAAATAAAAAAATAATATAATAAAAAAAAATAAAATAAATTTCAGATTTTGCATTGCGCCCAAAGGGGCGTTTTCTAACGTTTTATATGTTACCTTTATTTATTAAATATCATGTTCTTTGCACTTTAACGATAAAATTTAATTCACCGGCAATATCGCAAAATAATTTTAAAATGAGAATATCTTTAGACTTTTCGATACACAGTCTCGCGCGCTGGAGATAAAAACTTTTTTTTTCGTACAATGTTGCCATTTGCTCGCTTAAAAATCGTTGAGTTTGTTAATCAAAAATTTGTTAAGGGGTTACAAAATATGAAATATATAATAAAACAAATTTCAAATTCAAAATTAGGGCTTCCACATGTCCGTATTCGGTAGAAGGTTACGTTATTCGAAATTTGATGGCTCTAGGTACCGCTGTTTTATCACAGTGCGAGAAACATACATACTTTTAAGCAGATTCTTCGTTATTTAATTTCTTTAAATATAACACAGGGCGATAATATTTGGTGGCAACTATCTGAAAAGTGAATTAACGTTTATAGTGAATCGACGCAAAATGCCAAAACGAAATTAATAGTCCTCCTGGGCAAATTGACACTTTGGACTAAAAACGCATGTTCATAAAAATCCCGATAGTATGTTAAATGCTGGCATACATTTTTAGCTCAAAAGAAGCTTAGTCACGAAATGGAATTTTGCGTTGGTTCACTATAAACGGCTATATCAGTTTTCAGATTATTGATACCAAATATTATTACCCTGTATTATTTTTTAGTAAAATAAATTATGAAGAATCTATATGTTATATATGTATGTATGTTACTCGCACAGTGAAAAACAACATTACCTCGAACCATCCAGTTTTGAAAAATGTGGTCCTCCACCCGAACATGTGCAGATGGAAGCCCGGGATATGAATTTCGAAATTGTTTTTATTTATTTCATATTTTGTTAAACTTTAATGAATAATTAATTAATACACTGAATGATTTGAAAGCGAGCAGTGGCAACACTGTACAGAATAAAACAGTTTTATTTCCAGCGCACGCAACTGTTGCCAGTAGGAAAAAGATAAGATATTTAGCTTTTAGTTCTCCAAATCACTTTTCAGTTACCGCCTCTGTGTTATCGCCATGTATTATTTTTAAAGAAATATCACAACTTGTTAAAAAAAATTGGTATTCACAAAAATGTAAAAAATGTTAAAAAATTGGTAAATCACAAAATATTTAAGAATAGGCAATCCAAAGTTAGCCTATTCTTAAATATTTTGTGATTTTTTCCTACAGTTTTAATCGTAGGCATTGCTTAGTAATAATTGTTAAGTTAAAAAAACAAGTAAAAATTTTATAGGCCGTTTTGTTAAGAAAATCAAACATTAATACGATGAACTGAGAAATGACTGAAAAAAATATATAAATGTATGGCAGCACTGTATCGGGAATTCTACAGATATGTACTTACCGTTATAACTTTTATGAAATTGCTAATGAATTTATCTGGCATAAGTGCAAAGAAAGGGATGTTTAACGATGAAGTTAAAAAGACAAGAAAATGTTATTTTAGCAGGATTGAGTCCAAAAGCAGGGTAGCAAACTGCAAGTTCAGCCAGAGCATAAAATAGCTTTAACAAACCCTCTGGTGCGACTTTAAATCTGAATCATTTCAGGTTTATTATTATTAAAAATATTATTTAAAATTTTCGAAGTGAAATTTTTGTTAAAATTATATTTAATGTTTTGATTGAGGCTATTCAAATTTTCCCTTAATTTCTGCTGTCTTTTACTGTTACAAAGGTTATCATAAGCTTATTAAAAGCAAGTACGGTTATTATATGATTTCTAAAATTTCTCCCCTTTAAAATCTGCTATTGAATGCCAAAATTATTACATCATACTTCCATGAGCTTTTATTTACCTAATTTCTTACGACTAGAGCTATGTTCTCAGGAAAAAAATAAACTTTAATTTAGAAAAATAAAAACTAATAAATAAATAAAATAAAAAATACATTATCGATTCATCGATATGTTCGAGCCTTTCAAAAAACTCTTCAGACATGAATCGATATATCTTTAGATTTCAAATCTTATCGTCAGTTCTATTCATACATCTTCTTTTACGCATATATCGAGGGTATCGGATTTAATATGCCTGGGTTTCGGAGAAAAAGCAAAAGTTCTTTCACAGAAGCTCTTTTGAAATCAGAATAAAAAAAAAAAAAAAAAGCTTGTTTCTTTACAAATAAAAAAAAATCAATGCATACTGCAAGAATGATGAATGAATATCGCTTTGTGTTACTCATTCATGACGCTGGTGTAATTGATTCTTCGGTTATTAAAAAAACCTGTGCGGAAGCATCACATGGATTTCGAACGACACAAAAGTCCATGTATATACACATGATATTAAGGGGAAAAAAAAAGGTATTTCCGTTACTACTTGAAATGCTTTCTTGCTTCGTCCGTTTTTCATATGTTGAAATGAAAAGCCGAGCCGCCCAACCAGGATAGGGATTAGTGACTCTGATTGCCGCACCGAATAGCCCAGGTTCGAATCCTGAAGAAGGCATTTGTCGTATATTCGTCGTGAGATGGGTTCTAGATATATTTTACGTGACTTGGTTGGGGATATTTCCATATAGCATACGTACGATTAGGACGAACACTTTATTAAAACACAAACCAAAAAAATGTAGTTTACATAAAATTAGTATTATTGTGACACTCTATTCTTGTTCTATAATCTCGACTCTAGGTCACGTGAGAGAGAGGCGAAAATCCGCGCCGAACTAAAGTGCGCATGCGTGGTATTCATTAAATCATCACAGCATGGATGTTTGTAAATGTCTAGTGCCTGTACGGTATGGGTCACTCTACATTTGCAACGAACTGGAAGTCCTGTCGAAAGGTTAGTGGTAGGTGAAAAGGGTTCGGAGAGCCTCGGACCCGTCTGCCCGTCGGGAGCTTCTTCAGAATTGAGGGTGGAACTGAGCTAAGTCGTACTGTCACCTTAATGGAACCAAGGGCTCTTGCCAACTACAGGTGCAATCATGCCTCCTTGCCACGATGAATTTCGTAGGCTTGTTCAGATATCAGACAAGCGAGATTAGTTACAACAGCAAACAACAACGAAAAGCCCAAATTTATTTCATGGGTTTGCATCTACGCGATGCAGGGTGTTTCGTAGAATCCAAGAAGACGAATTAATTCCGAAAAACGTAAAAACACTTTTTTTGAAGCACATGAAATACATACAAGGACAGACACAACAACCAAACGTTCTTTCACATTCACAAATAAAAGACTAACTTTAATTTTCATACATTCTAGAAGCTGATGTCACTTTCCCTCAGCTTCAATTCACTTCAGTTCATAACATTATAAGTTAAATAACGGAACCTTAAATATTGCATTAGTATTAGCTAACCTAGAGCCCATAATGAACCAATGTTTCAATAAAAACAACTCCTTCATGACGTATCTCTGCATACGTCAACAACAACGTCATAACGTGTTATAAAGCATATAATATGAAAAAAAAGTAGAACCATCGTCGTTGCCACAAGAAGATTTGTTGTTGCCGAACCTCAATTTCAATTCACTTCAGTTCGAAACATTATAAGTTAAATAACGGAGCGCTCAGCATTCCATGCGAGTCGTACTAGCTATCCTAGAGCCAATAAAGAACCAGTGTTTCAATAATATCGACTCCTTCGTGACGTATCTCTGCAAACGTCAACAACGTCATAACGTGTTATACAGCCTACAATATGAAAAAAAAAAGTATAACCATCGTCGTTGCCACAAGAAAAAATGAAAAATTAAGAAAAATCGTTGTTGCCGTAAATAAAAATTAAACTCTGAAAATAATTTCCTGGTATATTCAGTTTATAAGAACTTCTATATTTACTCTCCAACTCCAACCGATTCAAGATGACGGATTAAAAAAAAGCACGTTGAACTTGTCGTCACCAAAGAATCTAATTTTTAAAATCTTCTCCATGCTCTCGTACTTCCACTTTCAAAACAAATGCTTCTACTTCGAAATCGCTCAAATGGTGGCACTTCCGGTCCCGTTAATTTAAACGTCACTTTCGCTGCTGTAGTGGGATCAATACCGCTTAATCATGCTAATTTGGAAAAGCTCAGTTTAAAAGGGCGTAGTTTTTTCTTAAAATGTAGGATTATATATTAATTAACTAATTATTATGATTTGAAGTTTAACTTCTTGTTTCCTTAGCCCTCACCAACATGCAAATTAGTTGTTGTATACTTAAGCCGAGCGTTTGAGTTTTTAAAGTTTAGACCTTCTGGCCTCGTCTTGCAGTTAATACAATTTTCAGCTCTGTCAAAATTATTGCAGCTTTATTATTTTGTTAGCCAACATTTAAAATACAAGCTGTTAAGGATCTTGAGCTAGTTTGAGTAGTCTGTTTTACGTGTAGTCTCAGACTACGTAATCTGCATTGAAACTAACTTCACCTTATGTTATGTTAAATATCCGCAAATAGCGGAGGTTCGGCTGTAGCCATAAGTATTGCTTTCTGTTTCATTTAAGAGTTAATATAAAGATTATTTTAATCTTCTTACGATCAGATCATTTGTTTCAGACTAACATTATAACTTTCTTTTTAGTCTATAGTATAGTCTGCACGACATTCAGAGAAGCTTCTAAACATAGCAGAACCCTATACATAAGCTATAAATTCTGTATCATTAGAACTAATTTCAAGCGCTTGAATTATAAGAAGCCAGTTCATTACATTATAATGTTGTGAAATTAATTAATTAATTAATCTTAATATATATATCAATCAAAAATTGATTGTAAAAAGATATCAAAATGGATTTTTCGTGAAGTCTGTACGTACGCATGTACTTCGCATAAACCAAGAGCCATTACTTATAGAATAATGAATAGCTATAACACGTAGTGTGTACCTCCTTTTATATACCTACTCCCCTTATCCGGTTTAAAACTCCTAACCAAGCCTTTTATATTCGAAATTGTTGATAGTAGTCATATATTTTCAGTTACAGAAATGATTCAGACGATGAAAATATTCACGTTTTGGCAATGTCAAATTAAAAAAAAAAAAAACTAATTTTTGATAAATAACAAAATCTAACTTTTATGCTGTCTCCCGGTTCCTTTATTTATATTTGGGTAAATTTTATACTCGTTATGAAAAAATAAAATTATAAGATGTTTGACTCCCGCACAACAAAAATTGACCGGGATATGTAATTTCGAAATTTGGAATTTTTGATGTCATTTTCAATTTGCCTTGAGGTATTAAATCATTTAGTTCGAATAATTCGAGAAAACAAGTTTAAATGAAGCAAGGCAAAAAATGCATATAATATAAGAAGTCATACAAAGAAGTCATGCGGTGTCCATATCAGATTTTTTCATAAAATGATACATACCTGTTTAGGGAGGTTTTCGGTGTCGGTATTGGCAAGCACTCCTTCTAGCGCCACCTGTGATAAGGCGGTCAACACAGCTATGACACAAGCAACGAGCAAAGGCAGTGATAACATGGTGTGAGACACGAAGACGGCAAAGTACACGAAGAGAGCATTGTCTGTCGTTCGTCGATGAGTCCGGCTATATGAGCAGACGACAAGTACGGCCAGAAGGCAAAGCCAGACGCCGGCCGACACCAACCAGGAGCAATGGGCGAAGAAACGCTCCAGAGGCACCATGCAGACAAACAAGAGCACCAAAATGCCTAAGACAGCAGAAACAGTGAAAATTCGTACGTGGTCGCCCCATATATCCTGAAAAAGATTGTTACAAATGCTTTGACTACAATAAATTCTTGCTGCATATGATAACAAAAGTTACTTATAAAGAACCAAATATACAGAGAGACAAAATTATAATAATAATTACTTGGTTTTACATACTTATTCCATCTTGAAACTTAACCCATTTTATTCCAATTTCTTTATTTTGTTCAAATTTGAAAAGATTGATATTTTCTAAGGTTAATTAAACCTAAACAAACTAAATATAACAAAATTAGAAAACGTTTTGTATTTTATACAAGAAATCTGGCCCGTCCTCTAAATAGGACACTGGGATAAAGGGGATAAAATTTGCACTTACAATGTTTTTAGTGTTTTTTTCAATGATGAAAAGTGATTTCCTTGTACAAATTTTACTTTATTTGACTAATACTTTCTTATTTACAAAAAAGTTCACTTTTCAGATGAGTTTCACTCTAATCTTGGTGGAAAGGTTTAAAGCAAGCCTGATAAATTGTTTTGTCACATTTTCCACAGTATGTTTTTGGTTTTCCTTTGGAGCCCTCTCTTTGACAACGACGCTGTTTTTCTCGCTTTAGTAAAAAAATACCAACACTATCTTTATGGAGTCTTCCTTTGCATCAGAAGGTACAGTCCAGATCCTTCGTCTACCTTTTGTTCTTATCACAGTTCACAGTTTTTTTTTTTAGATAAACTGTTGTTACAGCTCTTCGGAACTCCTTCAAGTTTAGAGCTTCATTTTTGTTCAGAGTTTTGTGAATTATCCAGGCGTTTACCATAGCCATATCCAGAGAACGTATAAAAAGTGGCCAGTACCACTTTTCCACGAATTTTAATGGAATAAAGTCCAGCTAACCAGTCGTTGTGATGCACACGCCCATATGTTTGTTGTAAGAATTAATCACATTTGGCATCTTCACGTTAGCTTTATCTTTGTGTCCTCTCACTCGCCTCTTCACATCAAAGAATGGTTCTAAAGTGCTGAAATTTGTAGCAACAATGACAATACTATTATCATTCCATCGCACCAGGAAAATCTCAGATTTCTCATCAAATGCAAAATCAGACGTGCCTCTTTCTTTCTTCCGCATAGACTTAGATTCTTCTAAAGGACACTCGTGGTTTATCCTATTTTCTCGTATGGTTCCTGTAGCTCGAAAACCCTGTTCACCAAGACTTTTCAAAAGATCAATGCTAGTAAAAAAGTTATCAAAATATAAAGTGTAGTTTGAAGGATTCACAATATTCTCTGTTAGTTTCATCACAACTCGAGTACCAAGAGAAGTATCATTATTGCATCGGATTCTTTACCGCAATAGAGAGAAAAATTGTAACACTATCCCTCGTTCCCACAGAAAGCCCAAAGTTTATATCCAAAACGTATAGGCTTTCCTCGGATTAACTGTTTCAGACTGTTCCTACCGTAATACATGACGATCATTTCATCAATGCTTAGATTTGCAGAGAAGTGTCCAAATTTCATAAAATTATTACTGAGTACGGCAAACAAAGGTTTTACTTTGAAGGATTGATCCTGGGCATGCTGACTGACAGTTCCATTGTCTACAAAGTGTAAATAAGATTTCAACTTTTGGAAGCAGTTTCGTGACATGGCATTTTTCACCAGGGTAATGCCGAGGTCTTCAGCATGTGACCAGTAGTCACGTTCGCAGGTACCTGAATGATAACCAGTTAGAAGCAAATTTCCGATAAAAACACGTATTTCGTTAGCAGTCGTCTAGAAATTGTGTTCATTTTTTACATCTGTTGTATATCGCACAGTTTCTTTTATAATGAGATCGTAGACTTCGCTGGAATAAAACTGCTCAAAAAGCTCTGATGGAGTTTTATCTTTCAATGCGGTTTCCGACTGCTTGAGCAAGTCACTTGCAATTGATTCATCCTGTGTTTTCCATTTTGTATATTGTGGTGAGTTATACTTTATCCAAGATGACTGGTGTCTTTTAGCTTTTTTTCTACTCTTTGTTTGTAGAAACACTGGAGCTTGTGGACGGTTTAAGCTGGAAACTATCTCCAGTTATAAACTCCAGAGATCCAAGAACATCGTTTACAATTATCTCACCAGTACTTACTTCATTCTTATCCCCTTCATCTTCGTCAGTTAGTTCACTGGCATCTGGTGGTAACACAGCAATTTCACGTCGTTCTCATCTGAATCTAAACTATTGAATTGTTCTAATGCTTCCTTTAACTTAACTAACCTCTAACTAACTAACTCTAACCTCTAACTTCAGAAACCTTTGCACTGACATAACTCAGCAGGGGGGAAACACTACATTTTTTTTTACTCTTATTTATAAAGAGAGAAAGAACGCGTCAATTCCATACTTATCATCCCATTGTCCTATTTAGAGGACAGTTAAAAAACATTGCGCTAAAACTTACCTAATAACAATATAGCTTTCATTAACTACCAGGATTATAAGGAAAGAGTACTTTCACATACAAAATGCCCAGCCGAGTGCCAAAAGAAACCTGAAAACGAATTCTGCAACCACAAAAAAGATGATACAAACCACGCCTACTAATGCGATGAATAATCAAAATGTCCAGAGGAAGGAGGAGGGGCGAGACACATAACTTACGCTAGCAGATGCCAATACATATCCCTACATATTCCAACTGGCAAAATGCTCGCACCAAGCAAATACTGATTTCTGCATGCTATTTTTCAGCTGTCCTTGAAATAGTATAGTGGGATAAAATGGGTTAATATAGCTAGTGGAATGCAAACCCTTTGAACGTATTTGTTCACATCGTGATTCTTCTCCCTTCCATCTGTAGATACTCATTTCAACATGCTAGATCATATATTGAAACAGCTGACTTGCCATAGATCAATAAACTGTGGCAAAGCAACAATTACTTAGGTAAACATATCTGCGCACCGATTCATAGTTTGTAAATAACTAGGTTCAAGAGAACTATTTTTTATTCTATGACCACTAAGCTACATACCGAGGCAAGGGTGTTTATTTGGAATTTGCGAAATTTCATAAAGCGCCGCTGGTTTTAGCCCGTCATCTCACTAAAGATACATGCATCTTTATGCAAGACAGCGACTATCCACTTTAGATTTTCACATGAGCATCCTCGAATATTGATGACGGGTGCTTTTTCGGTAATATACACTGAACTCATAAAGCTGGTCATCTTTTTACCTTGCCGAACAACAGTCAGCATGCAAAAAAGTGCCGGCCCACTTATGAAAATTGCCCGCGCCGGTCAGATCACATGTATCCGCTCCTTATTGCAGTCCCTGGCCGAAAAAACAACCTGCAACTGATTATCCCCAATAAAATAAATTTTACTTAACCAGTTCTCTTTCTACAAACTTGCCCTAACAAGGCCTATGGGTTGCTCCAAGATTAATATACTAAAAGGTTTGCTCTTGTATGACGTCACTGACTCGTATTTTAGAGACATTAGGCATTTTTTGGAAGCAGGCAAGATGAAAAAATAGCGATCACTTTCGCTGGGAATCGAACCCGGACCTCTGGAATACCGGCCCAGCATGCAGAACCATTACACCACGAAGGCACTCTAGGGAAGTGGGAGAAATACCTTATAGTATGTCTGCTAAAATGCAACTTCTTTCTTACTCATATTTTGTCTTCCTTTCTATCACTTCTTTAAGTCAGTGATGTTAGATCTGGGAAGAGGGTAAATTGGTTTGTCTACTGACCTTGCTACAAGTTTTCTCTTGTGTGATGACAGTGACTCCTAATCTGCCCAAAAGCAACTTCCTTCATATTATCTTTGTGATTGGTTTCTTAAAATTCTGTAAGTGAAGGACATCAGCGTGCGAAACAACCTAACCTTGTTTTTCTCATGATATTAGATTGCTCACGCTTGACACACGACAAAGCACATTTAATATTTTGCTCCCTTTATAGATTCGACCTTTCCTACATTTCGCGGCATAGATTGTCGTATTTCCACGTGAATATTTCGCAGTTTTTTATCTAATTTTATTATCCGAAAATGGAGAGGTGAACATTAATGAGAGTCATTTAATATCCGGAAAAGCGGTTAAAGTAAGAGCATAACAAATGAAAAGTAAGAAACAGTTAAAATACTAGTAACTATCACTATTATTTCTTTAAAAGAAACCTACATTTCAGTAAGAATACACAGTGGTATTAACATTAAGATATCTGACGGTTACTAAGACTAGCACTCCTCATTCACAAATTACTCAACGTGGGTTTCCCAGAGGATATCACGAATATCATTAAATCCTACCCTGACATTTAGAAACTTCATCACTCACATTTCAAACGCATACTCCCTCCCACCGTGCTATCATAGCCGGTGTACAGCAGGAATCGCTCCTGGGATCTATACTTTTTAATTTGTATAAGAATGACATTCTACAAAAAGCCAATATTATACTACCACTTTATGGTGATGACACTGCGATCCTCTCACAAGATCTTTTCCTTAGTACAGTATTGGAAGCATTACAAAACCACATACAGACACTTGAGACCTGGCTATAATTAGATGGAAAGGGAAAATGAATGTAGACAAATCTAAGGCTCTTCTCTTCGCAAGGAAAAGGAAGATTGGTGGAAATATAAAACTGTATGATTCTTCCCTGCCCCTGGGCTAGGCATGTCATCTACCTCGGGTAATTCTCGATAAAAATTTCACATGTTTCCCACACATATTATCTATCATCCAAAAGTTCCGCGTCCGTTAAGCTGAACTTTTCAGCTTAAGTGCCCACATTTTATCTCTAGACAACAAGTTACACATTTAGCAAACAATATTAGCTCCCATACTCAGTTGTGTCTTCCCTGTTTGGAAGCATTCTTGCAAAAACAACCTGAAGCATCTTCAAACTGTGCAGAATTACATTCTCAGACAAATCACCTACTGCCGTGGTTTGTAAGGAATAATGTAATTTATGAAAAATTGGCATAACACAATTTCGTGCTACTTCCATTGTAAGGATCTTAAGTTTTACTAACGTTTATTTTATT